AAACGTGGGTTCTAGGGTCTCACCACCCTGTTCTTTCCCAGGCACTTCATCTTGAACATGGATACCTCTTAGGAAGTGATGTCATGTGTTTCGCCACCACTGACATTTGTAGTTTAAAATGGAAGGCTTCCCACCCCCCTGTAAATGGTAGCGGCAGCTGTGTGCCCCTTGCAGTGATGAAAAAGCAGCTGTCTCTTGAGGGCTCCAGACCCAGGTTCTCCCATTTACATAAGGTCCTTAGCCTCCTTTCATTTAAAAATGAAAATGAAAAAGAAAATAGAAAGAAGGGAAGGGCAAAGAAGGGTGGACAGATTGGACTGTAGTCATAGGAATGTGCCCAGCCTCTTATCCCCCTGGGATGAGGGGCACAGGCCCAGGTCTTTCTCTTTTCTGACGTGTCCTGCCCACAGCAGATGCCATCCATTCTGATGATGATGATGATGATGGCTTTCAGGCACACCCCCTCTCCCATCTGTGCAGATGAACACACTGGATAATTCTATCTCACTGTGAGTTTGAGAAGGAGCGAAGTGTCCAGACAGGGAACTGGATGCATCTACATGGCTCAGGTCCATTCTCACCAGGAGACAGCAAAGCACAGAGGGAGAGAGCACAGGCTGGGGGAGTCAGACAGTCCTGTACCTGAATCCCTGCTCACCACTTACTGACTGGGTGGCCTTAGACAAGCCAATTAACCTCTCTGAGCCTCAGTTTCCTCATCTGCAAAATAGGACTGAGTTTACTTCTCAGGTCGCCTGTACAGATTAAAGGAGACAAGAATGATAAACCACATGGTATAACGCCTGGCTTAATTAAGGTCAGAGACATAGCTCCTTCCCCCAAGGGAAGAAGTAACTTCCCATTTAGCCGTAAACACCATAAAGGCAGTGATTCCCCTACCAAGTTCAGGTCCATATGCACAGGGTCTGGCCCACAGTATGTAATAAGAGTTTGTTGGCTGCGTGAATAAATAAATTCCTAGTGGCCTGGGGTATAGCAGAAGAGGGCAAGGTGCTAAGCCAGGCTGTCTACTGCCCAGATTAAATAATTTTGTGGATTACAGGATACCCAGTTAACAGAACTAACCAGCCCCCTCTTTGCTGGCCTCTGCCTTTGAAGTCACAGACTGCTATAAACCAAGCAACAACCCTAAACTCCTCCACCTCCCTCCCTGACTCTTCCACTGCCCAACTTGCCAGAGTGTAGAAAGGTTCACATGTGTATGTGGCCCTGAAAACCCAGGGCACTCAGGAGGATCTAAGGCCTCTGTCCACCTGTGCCCCAGGCTCTGCCCAAGGGATTCTCTGCAGCCAGAAAGAGAGAATATTGGAAGCAAAGAGGGGCCCAGGAGAAGGCCAGGAGGGAGCAGGAAGGAGCCTGTACTTCCGTCATTGACATCTTAAGACTCTAAGCCTGGCTCTCCTAATGTGTGAAAAGAGGATCTTAAACCCATCTTGCAGTATGAATGAGGCCTGGAGGCAGCAGTCAGCATCCAGCATCCTGCTTCATAGGCTGCGGCTGATCCACATAATCGTGGCTATTGAAAAACAAAAAAGCCAGCTATGATGTTAGGGAAGAGGTAATCTTAGATTGTTAAGAACGCTTATGCGGAAGGATGGTTCAATGCGGGTCCCCTCACCGTCATCCACCAAAGCAACTCTAACTTAGGGCCTCATAATCTTGTTCAAAGTATTGGGATTTTAGGGAGGATGATAATCATTTCCCTCTAAAAGGGTTCTCCTGCTGAAAAATAGAAGTTTCACAACCACCGAAGTGATCTCGGAGGTTGCTCCAGCTCGAACATTATCCGCATTTAAAACACAAAAATTCTGTTAGTTCAGCCTCTCTGGAGAAACTCCCATTTGCGTGGTGGTCGGAGGTGGGGAGGGGGTGGAGCTTATGGCCAGGGGCGGGGCCACGCTCCAGCAGCCGCCTGCCGGGGTCTAAGGCCTTTAACTCCTGGGGCTGGGAAGAAACCCAGCCTGCGGCGCCGGAGCCCCCTCCCGGTAGGGAGGGGGCGTGTAAAGGGAAGATAAATATATGAAGTCGTCACGCCCGCTCGCGCCCGCACAGCCCCCGCAGTCTCCGCGCTGCGGCTGCGGCGGCTCAGCGGATACAGCTCCCACATCCCACCCACCTGCGGACACGCGGCTGCCGAGCCAGAACGGGCAGGGCCTCCTCCTCCCCGACCCCGCCCAATTCCCCAGCCCCCCTCTGCCAGCCTGGGCCTTCGGGCTCCCTGGCTGGGGCTGCCTGCACGTGGCTCTAAGCCGAGAATTCCCAGGGCCACTCCTCTAGCCCCCGCCCAGCGCCCCCCTTCTCCCGGGGCACCGCACAGGCCCAAGTGCAGGACTTCCCAGAAGTGCCCAACGCTCGGTTCACTAGGGCCCGAGGACTTGAAAACGCCTCAGACCAGAAAAAACGTGGGTTTCTCCTCTGGAGAATCTGGTACTGGGGAGTAGGAGCCAGGGCAGCAGCTTCCGGCCCAGCCAATGCTATGTGCAGAGGACTACCTTTCTCCAGTCGGGGCACAGATCCCCTCCTCTCGAAAGTCAAGCTCCCTTGCTCCGCGTCCCGCGGGGACAGAACAGGCGGGAACGCACCGGCCGTGCCCCTCCCCCGGCAATGACCGCCATCGCCCCCCATTGGGCCCGCACGTTCCTGAAGACCAACCTAGAATTCTACCCACCCCACCCTCCAGGCAGCCTCTGGCAGGTGTCTCGGCAAAGCCTAGGCCAGGTGCACCTCTGTCAGCAGCCAGTTCCAGAAGGGCGCCCTCCTCCGGCACAGCCCGTCTCTTGCGTCTCAGACGGACCCTTCTCGTACCCCCACACCCTATCATGAGCAGACTTGGAAGGTGGAAGGAGGGACCCCAGCCTCATGCTCTATCGAGTTCTCTACAGAGAAAAGAGGGCTCCCGGAAGCCTTGGACTTTCCCTGCGCCCCGGACTCAGAAAGTTTCCTGTCGACGATCCGGATCTGAGCTCTTCATCCTGAGCAACAAAGCCCAGAGCTCACGCTTCTACCCAGATACGTTCATCCCCAGGCACCAGCCTGCAGAGGGGGGCGAGGGGCGTGGAGGCGCCAGGATGCCGGATCAGCTCTCCGCAGCAGCCCCACAGCCAGAAGAACGCTGCTCCGGGATTCTGGGGAGAGCTCGCAGGGTGGGGTCCTGACGGAGGAGGGGTTTTCCCACCGAGCCCTTCCCATCTGTCGACGCCCCCACCTTGCCGCGTCCCTCCATTCTGCGCATTCCAAGGAAGTGGGGTGCTCCCTTCCTGTCCCTAGCATCCAACCCCGCTCCCTGCTATGTCCAGGTGAGGGCTCCAGTGTCTTTCAACAAAGCGCAGGGCCCTCTCTGTAGCGCCAGAACCGGGACCCTCTCCCCTCTCCCCATAAACCATTCCCTCCAGAGACATCCGAAGTGGGGAGCCCTCACCCTGTAGTTGGGGGGAGATTGTTATACACTTTGAAAAGTCTCTTGCTCCAAGGGTAGGGGACAAAGTGCAGGACTTACATTCCTTCTGGGTTACACTGATCCCTCCCCCTTCTCTGCCAACAAGACCATCTTCCAGGCTCAGATTCTGCAGCTTCTCCCGTCAGCAGACCCAGCACCTCCGAGGACTTTGGGGTATGGAGGTGGGGCTATTTTGGGAGGCACCCCTTCATGGTAGGCACTCTCAGAGCCTGGCTGGGCACCCTGCTGATGGGACAAGATATGTGGCAGAAGACAGAAGTGACACACCCCCCCTTCCATCACCCAGCTGGGCTAGGGGCCAAGACCTATTGGTAACAATGGCTACTTTTTTGGCACCCTACGTCTCTGTCCCTCTCCATGGCAAAGCCAGGCTCTGACTCCAGTACGGCTGCCAGCCGGTGCTGACTGACACTAGGCTTAAAGGGGATCCAGGACCTGACGCTGTTCGCTGGTCCCGCCTGTCTCTTGCCGGGCACTCAGCTGCCGCTTTAGCTCTCAGCTCAAGGTGCGAAAGATGCGCGGGTCGCCAGGTTCCGCACCGTCACCATTTAAGACCCACTAGTCCACTAGTCTGCGGTGCTGGGCGAACCAGGCAACCGCGAACCGTGCACTCTCGAGCTGCAGAGGCACAACTCACTCGCTCTGGAAAATCCACTCAGCTGCAACCTCCTTCCAGCTGGTTTAGCCTAGCCCAGGACCAAGTCCACCCGGGACGCGCGCGCGCGCGCGTGCACACACACACACCTCCCCCCTTCAACAGCTGCTCACACCCCCTCAGCCCCGGACACGTCCATACCTCTCTGCAAACAAGAACCACACGCTTCATAGCACGCACACACACCCCCAGCCCACAAAGCAATGCGACCCCCATGAGCCTACACCTCCAGCCATATAAGCACACTCCAGCCCAAGTGTCACATGTCCAGCCCCTGTGCTGGCAGAAATGCTGCCACACACCCCTAAAGAGACCCACACACTCGGGACACGCGTGAAATGCCACACCTCGCACAACTACCCCATCACATACACACACAATGACACAGGCTCAGACTTCACTCCCTCACTGAAAAGCTGGCACACGCGCACACCCCCCCCAAACACTCTCCTCGCTCACACTCTTTCTCACACACACACACCTCCGCGTAACTGAGACACTCTAACACCCCTCCAAGACGCTCACTCACACACAGAGGCACACCATCACACCCGCATACGCACACTCACATCTCTAAATAATACACTCCGCGCCCTCTGCATACAGCTCTTTCTTGGACCCCCTCACACACAGACCCAACAAAGACAGGCTTGGACACACACACACACACACACACACTCTCTGGCACAGACCCACGAGTGCTCTCTGCAAGAGATGTCCTCCCTCCGTCGCCACGCCAACCCGCTCCACAGACTCCGCGCAGGACCCGGTGCTCGTACCCCGCGCCTCTCGCAGGAACCCCAGCCCTCGCCCTTCCCCGGCGGCCAGTCCTTGCGCGGGTTCCCGGCCAGGCGCCCGCGCACTCACCGCGCGCCAGGTCCAGGATCGCGGCGAGCAGTAGGCAGGCGCCGCCGCAGAAGCTCGGGGCGGCTCGCATGGTGCCCGGCAGCTGGCGGCGGTGGCGGGGCGGCGGCGGCGGTGGCGCAGGCAGCGGGTCCCCTCGCCATGGGCTCAAGCGCGCTCTTGCCTCCGGCCGCCGGCCGAGGCGGTGGCGGGCAGCGCGGGGCGCCGCAGGGGCGCCCCCATGCCGCCGCGGCCGGGCCGCCTGGGCGCCGGGCTCGACTTGGCTCGGGCTCTCCGCGGCGCCGCGACCCTCGCGCTCCGGGCGTCCTCGGGACGCGCCGAGGCTTTCAGCTCCCCGGCTCCCACCGCGGCCCGGAGTCCGCGGGGCTGCAGCGCCGGAGTTTGGAGCGGAATAGCGCTCTCTCAGCCTCGCGCTCGCCTCTCCCGGCGGCGTGAGC